TTTGCTATCGCGCAGACAGTCTTCTTATCAATTTCTCCAGCTTAGCGCCTCTCTCGCGAGTCGCTAGAAAGCTCGGCCTAATCCTACATCTGCTCCCAAGAAGTCTATGTCTCTAGCTTCACGGTCTCTCGCGAGACACCAAAAAGTTCGACCTAATCCTGCCTCTGCTCCCAAGCAATCTATGTCTCCATCTTTGCGCTCTCTTGCAAGTCGCCAGAAAGGTTGGTCTAATCCTACCACTGCTCTAAAGCAGCCTCAATTCCCAGCTTAGCGCTTTTCTCACGAGTCGCCAAAAGCTCGAGCTCTTTTTACCTCTGTTTTGAAACAGCTTCAGTCTCCAGCTTAGCATGAGTCACTAAAAACTTGGCCTTAAGAAGTATTACTCTCTCATGAGCCAACCTTAACTGTCTCTCAACAGCCTGTCATACTGGCCTCTCTTTTGCCAAGATCCCTATATAACTCTCCAAGTTTGATCGTTCTTGAAAAAAGGTAGGAAAAAACAACATAGACACTGAACCACAACGTGGAGCTCTAGTCCAGACGGAAGGCCGCACAAGAGTCTCAACTCCCGAAGTATTGGCTGAATTGACCCCAATACTTGAAGGAACTGTGTACTGAGAAAAAGTGGGGGCACCCTCTAATCTAGCCTCCCAGGATATAGCATGGCTCTCTAACCGTTGAGAGATACTGGAGGCATTGGCCTTCACCCTCTTAGGAGGATAGGAAGACAGAACCCTAAAAGCATAGAGAGTCTCCACCATCGCTCTATCAACAAAGTGCCTAAGATTAGAAACAAAGTCAATATAAAGAACCAACATCAAGAAAATGTTAAGGAGAAAGTGGGTTTGCCTCCTACCTAGCTGAAATTCATCAGTCTCCCTTTCTAGCAAAACACAAAATGCCAACCTGTCGCCCATGAACGCTTGACAGCTACCTATAAGAGCGCAACTTCCCACTGCAGTCAGTTTCACTAATTTGTGTTTAAAACTCAAATTCTATGAGAAATAAACATTTTTTGGAGAAATTTGGTGCCCAAATCGCCAAAGGTGGTTTGTATGTCATATATTTCAAAAAAAAAATACTCGGATACATAAAAAAAATCACCTCAAACAAACAACCAAACACAAAGTTATGGTCGTTTGAAGTTTGGTCACTTTTTCAAGATTATCTACTACTCTACCAAGCACTGTTGCCCAGCATGCCAGGACATCGATTTCCCAACATCTCAATGCTAGTAGCAAAGCGTGGCGTCGCCTAAACTGTCTCTCCAGCTGTGTCCACATCCTCTGCTAGCCAGCATCAATGCCTAGTGCCTGCAAGGCATCGTCCAACCTGGCGTTGCTCTTACTGGCGCTGCCTGGCATGCTAGCGTCGCCCACACAGCCTAGATCGAAGCCTCGTCGCCTGAGCCTCCTTTTTTCCCTCTGGCGTCGTCATTAACGAAGGCGTAGCCCAATGCCCCACCAAGGGTTAAGTATTCTTATTCAATTGATTCTATACCCTGAGTAGGGCTGTCACTAATGACTCGTGTCATTGTGGAGAATATGTCGCTGTCATTGAATCCTAAATAAAATAAGAGAGTATAATCTCATAATCTTTTAAAAAGGAATATTGTAGGATTTACTTTTCAAAATTACTAGAAACTTTCATGTGAAATTAATTGGTACTTTAGAGTGACAAAAATTAAGAAAACAAGAAATGAATAAATGAGATATGCAATTAAGGGGAAAAAGACTATTAAAGAGAGAAAAAAAATCATGTAATCATTCATGGTCCTAGACGTGTATCCAAACGGTGGTAAAATGTCATTAGCCTGTCGATCACATGTGCTTGGAGAGAAAACAACTATGACGGGCAAGGTTATAACCGAAAGCATATAGAAAATTCAAGTGGTTTCTTCGATGAGCAAAGATGGTATTTATAGACTGCCAAGGGATACCAAGACAACTATTTAACGAGTCTGTTACCCGTCACAATTGTTGATAACGGTTGTGTCCATTGCCCACCTCAACCGCAACCAACTGCTCTCTCTCTCTCTCTCTCTCTCTGTGCACCAAAAACATTACCGAGTCATATCTATTAGTTCACCATCTTACAATTCCCACTTGAATGTACATGTACATGACTTAAGAGTTTCCCAATGAAACCGACATACATAAAACTATTTTTTTAGATGTCTTAGAGTATTAGAAACCTATGAATGGGTTGTAATGCCATTTAAATTTAAGAATGAAAGGGCCACTTATCAAATGTTTATGAATTTGATTCTACATAACATGATAGAAAATTTGATGAAAGTTTACATTGATGATGTGGTGATCAAATATGATGACCAAGAATCACACTTGGAAAACCTTCAAGAACCTTTCCAGATGATGAGAATTCACAAGTTAAAAATGAATCCTTTAAGTGTACATTTGGAATCTCTGCAATTTCCCAGGATTTTAGTCCAAAAAAGGGGAATTGAGATAGACAAAAACAAGGCTAAAGCCATCATAAAGGCTCAGTCACCTTCAAATAAGAAGGAATTGTAGAGATTTTTTGGTCAAGTGAATTTCCTAAAGAGGTTTATATCTAAACTTGTAAGGAAAATATTGACTTTTTCACCATTTTTAAGGTTGAAATTAGAGCCAGAGTTCAAATGGGAAGCAATACATTAGAAAGCTTTTAAAGAAATCAAAGCATACTTGGTAAATTCTGCAATATTAATGCCACCTAAGAAAGGCAAGCCATTGAAGTTGTATATCTCTGCAGGAGAGGGATCCATTTGCAGCCTACTTGAACAAGACAATGGTAAGGTCATAAGTAAACAGTTTACTATCTAAGTAGAGGTTGAACAATGTTTAAAGTAATTATTTCTCAATAGAAAAATTGTGTTTAGCCTTGTACTTTTCAGCAATAAAATTGAGGCATTATTTATTGTCATTTACTATTTACATCATTGCTTAGATTGATTTGGTCAAATATATGCTAACCAGAAAATCCTATGAGGCAGAATGAGAAAATGAATTCTTGCCTTAATAGAATATTGTCTTCAATTTGTGCCTCAAAAGGCAGTTAAAGATCAAGTATTGACGAATTTCCTAGCAGACTATCCAAGTGTTTCCATAGAGGATGACACATACGAAGTTGTTTATATTAACCTAACAGCATGGAGGTTAATGTTTGATAGCTACAAAACTAAAGGAGTATGGGCTGGAATAATATAATTATCCCCTGAAGGCAAAATATTTCAATATGCCTATCAGTTGTATGAGTCAATAGTATTGTCAAACAATCAGGTAGAGCATGAAACTTTAATAATAGGCTTAGAAATAATAAATTGCATCTGAATTGAAAATCCTAGAGGGTGTAAATGAAAGAATCATAAAGATTCAAAAAAATACTTACCAACAATGACATATCCCTATTCTCTTGTAGTGCATAAGTTGTCAAGCAATTTGATTTCATTTTTGTTAAAATATTCAACTCAATTAATTGATAATGAGTCGGGGGACCCATAAAACTCATATATAGGCTAGTCTGAGAATTATTATATATCGATGTAGGGCAAGCTCAAATACTCCCCGCTCCTGCGATCCACAATCAAATATTGAGGGCTAGGTAGAAGATGTAATAAAATTCATATATACAAATCAAGGGGATCACGGGCGAAATTAAATCGGAAGACTTGGCAAAAAGGCCTAAAAGCTGGTTTTAAAATTATGTTAAACATCTATTCCAAAATTAATTGGTAATAACTGAAGAGATTCATAAAACTCATACTAAATTGGGAATTGCTATTATATCGGTTTGAAACAAACTCTAATATTTGCATACTTAAGTCACCTAAGCATCCGTCATCGTTTCCCATACAAAAATAACAACCTTCTAGATAAATAATAAATAGTCATATAAATTAGTTATTACATGTGAAAAATCTCAAAGGTGAAATGATCATTTAGACATGCAATCATTGCATCTGTCTTTCAAATGAAAGTGGTCACCTTGTATTCTTGCATAAATAAAATGCATATTGTCATTTGCTGAGGACTTTCTTTTAGCTTCTTTTTGCACAAAGTTCTTCATTACCATGGTCATACTTTCTCTTCGCACTGATTATTTTTCTGTATAAAATGACTTGTGTTGCTATCTTGGGAAATGGTGAAGAAAGGAAAAGGCGTGATCATTACTCTTAGAATCTAATCCTTCAGCCTAACTAACTGATTTTAGAATTAGAAAGTACAAATTGTGATAAGAGCAAGCTGACTTTTTCCTCTTTCCATTGTGATTCATCTCCCAAGTGGGCATATCGCCAAGGAGATTAAACCCCATTACAAGAAACAATGATCGTTAATCTGTTTCTAAAGCAGAATGATAATAAGTAATCAAGACAATGAAGACTGCAAAATCAATTGAAGAGAGAGAAAGAGAGATTTTATATTCATCAATGTGTAGTACATAAGGTAATCTCCCACTATAAGACAGTCCCAAGTTGTTTTGTACATATCTCGGACGGGAATACAGGACATTATTCCACAGTCTTGAAGAGAAAAGTGATTGACAATCTTATCCAGCAATAACTACAATCTCATAACAACTACAATACAGTACAACAGCCGATCTCTACGTTTCTATCACTATTCACATCTCTCTCCAAAAGTTTCATTGTTGTTATAGACATTTGGAATTAACTGGAAATAGCCCAAGTGCCTTACTGCCTTACAGCACGATAAGATATACATGCACACATCTATACAAGAATTACATGGCCACAAATATATCTACTCGTGAGTGACCTTTATTCCAGATCTTCAACACCATCCAAGCAGTGGAGTTGCTTTCCTGTCAGAATAGAAGCTTGAGGTGACCTAGTTATAACCCAACAAAACTAAGTTTTTCTTGAAGCTAAAGAACTGTGACTTGGGTTTTGGTAGTTTTTGAAGAAAAGAAAGAGGGTTTCCCTTTGAATGGAAAAGAAATAAGGAGGGAAAAAAACAAAAAATCGGAAGGGAAACCGATTATTCGACATGGAAATCAAGAAATGGAAAGGAGGAAACATCTTTCATCAATTCCTCCAAGTTCCAGTCCCCCAGTACTCTTTGGTCGTCTCCTTCAAAGTAATTGTTTAACCCACCTATGTTTTCTACTTTGATGTTCTTGTTATTGTGGTTGTCGTTGATGTTGCTGCTGTTGCAGTATTTGATGAATAAATTGTTCATAGTGTTGACAGTGATGTTATTAGTGTTTGTATCTGAAAAATATTCGGTTTTTGCACATCCTTCAATACTTATGCTCTCAGGGGGGAGATCTAACGGCTCTCCTTCCACCCCAATATTGCCACCAAACATCCTGTAATTCTCATAGAACGTATTAGGGTTCATTTCAACTTGTGGTGCATTTAAGTATGATCCACTTGGAGCAGACATAGTTAGGCTGTTATCAAACATAGACAAGGGGTCGATGTCCATGGGACGATTCAGAGCCCTTGCTTTTGTCGATGACGATGACAAGGATGATGAGTCCATGTAGAGAGCCATAATGTTTTGTTCCCGCATGGACATGAGCCCTCCTCCCACGAGACCCCCTGGATCCGATGATGAATCACTTGTATTTGGTGAGGGTGTGGAAGATAAATTCTTAAGCCTCTTCTTTACTGTTGAGTTCCAAAAGTTCTTGATTTCATTGTCAGTGCGCCCCGGCAAGCGTGCTGCGATTTGAGACCACCTTTGAGAAGGGAAAAAAGGCAAGAGAAGAAATGAGCATACTTTAGCTACAATCGTAGGTGGGGAAGAGGAAATTTTGTATGTTGTCGAAAATTAAATGCATGGTTTGCATGGAAGCTTAGCTGTTAAAGAAAAGATTGACTTGGTATGTGGAGTATCTTCAACTCCAAGTGCAGATGTAGACAAACCAACAGTGATGATGCCAATGTCCTTTTCACCCTTCTACCTCTTGAAGAAATACTACTAGAAAGTCTAGACTAGAGCACACAAACAAACACACACACACACGTTCATATGCACAAATACTCCTGTCTCCTGAAATGTGAGTTAAATGAATTGACCACGATCAACAGGGGATGTTAATCCAGAAATAAAATCAAATTCAAAACTACGGACTAAATGAAGAGTAGAGAAATATTTAATAAGATACTATTTAGAGGGATTATACTGAAAGGAATAAATTTTTTGGGGAGAAAGCTTGAAAAACTGCAAAGGATGAAAGGGGAAAAAATGCAATTTCAAAAACTTGGGGAGCCCATGGTCCACCATCCTAAATAACCCCGTTTCTAATTTCAATGAAAGAGTAATCACTTTATACAACATTTATAAAATATTAAGTTTATATGCAATCTATTGTCTCGTTATACCCAATTTACGAGAATCAAAGTAACTCACTCATTAATGAGAAATGAAATAACATCGATCATAAATACAAATACGATTATGTAACATAATCCAACCACCGGAATACGTTATTTTTTGATATATTTCATTTTTCTTTCTTTTGCTCAATTTCAAAGAAGGAATAGAAAAAGCAAATAACATCACAACTCCCCATCTTCTATGGCATCATGATGACAAAAATGACCGCACAGGATACTATAATTACCAAATATAGTGGCCATCATGACCCCAATTGGATACTTCCTTTAACCTTTAACAATCACTCTGCACTGGTCAAATTAGCTTTATGCTTCAATTATGGAAATTTGGTTAGGTTTCCAGATTAAAAGAAATAAATAACGCATAGTTTTGTTCTTATTAATGGGAATCTAGGAATGTCATGGAATTATATTAAATTATGTAGGTTATAAGCAGGGGCATATCGCAAAACAATATTTCCTAGTGTCTCTGTTACTGTACACTTGAAAAAGAAGAATAAGTATAACAATTGAGTCGTAATTAGAATAATCATGACACTTCTAAATGAAGAAAGCTGAAAAATAAACAAGGGAAGATACTGTATGTATTCAACTGAATAGTCAAATGTTTTCACTAGTATAAACGTGATTTTTCTTAATAATCCTAATTTCGTTACCGGAGTTACTAATACACACCTAGTAATGTTAGTGGGTGTTAATAATCCACATAGTTGATGAGAATATAGGTTAGGGTGGGTCATTAATTTAGTAATAGTAAATCTGCGGTATCTCAATGATATTCCCGGGAGTAACGAGGGGTGAGCCGCCCTTTTTATATAATTCTATCAGACGGAAGTGAATAAACGGAGGGAAGTTGAAGGAAGCTCAAAAAGGTCAGGTGGGTTCTATTGTAAAAACGCAAACATGAATGATACAATGCATTCAGGTTGTGTTTACGTGGTGTATGTGTGTGTGTGTGTGTGAGTAAGAGAGAGAGAGAGAGCAGACCGATTGCCAAGAATGGAATGAAGATGGATGATGAGTTCTTCCTCCTGGGGTGAAAAAGCGCCTCGTTTGAGGTCAGGCCTCAAGTAATTAATCCACCGAAGACGACAGCTCTTTCCACACCTTTGCAAGCCAGCATTTCTTGCTACATCACTCCAGCAGCCTTGTCCATTGGTGAGCATGTAGTTCATGAGCTTATCATCTTCTTCTGGTGACCACAAACCTTTCCTTAGCTTGGCTCCATTGTTGTTCACATTGTTCTTCCCAGAAAAATCTGGCTTCCTCATTTTCAGACTTTGATCTTTCCCTTGGAGGGTTCTTTTCGCCCAACTGTAATGATGTGAAGGAGTGATGACTTTATATAGAGAGGTGGTACAATAGTCCCATAAAAGAATATGTGCGCGGGTGAGAGGGAGGGAGAGAGAGAAAGGCTTCATCGAATAGAAATGATGTTCATGATGATTGTGATGGTTGTGGGGTTTGCTTAGAAATGGGGAATTGAGAGAGAGAGAGAGAGAGGGAGGGTAGGGTGTTGGTTGATGAGTCGAGTAGAAAACGGTTTGGAAAGGGAGAGGTGGTCGTCTTGTCTTTGACTCCATATCTTGTCTTTTTCTATGCATTTTCTTCAGTTACAAGCTAATTATTGTATGAGTATATATTAATACAAGCATACATATAATATAGAGCTTGAAAAAATAGAAAGTTTGTTTTGTAACCAAGCCAAGATTGTTGCTTCCACTATACATAATCTAACACGTGTATTTGAAGATAAGAGAAAAAAATTAAGAATATTATGAGTTGTTAATCACGTAGCAAAATTTTCACCATTTCCAATCATCCAGTTCCTCATAATTTGAGATTGGCCACAGATCTCACACCTTGAGCTTTCTCATTGGTGAAAAGTAGAATAGAGTCCAAGATGGACACACCACTTCAAAAATTCTCTTATAGAAAGGCGACAAATTAAAAGGTACAAAGCTCTCTCTCTCTCTCTCTCTCTCTCTCTCTTTTTCTGTTGATTCCAAACCAAAAAAAAAAAAGTAGAGGGGAGACAGGGGCAGCACCACTGTGGTTAAGCCGATCCTACCGGGGTCATGGTGTAAGTAAGCGTAGTTTATCTTGATCATGGTTAGAGATTTATGTTGTGTTTGATATGCAACAATATTTTTGAGTGAGAATGAACTGAACATAGAATGTATATAACCATTATGATGTACGACTAACATTGCAACAATACATTCTGAAGTTTGAATAAATAAATCTTTTAACTTAAATAATATAAAATTTGATCAACATACTCGTATTGAAATTAAATAATGACAACTGATAATGATGAGATTTTGGGTATGAGCCGCCATAGTCAAGAGACCAATAAGCCGGGAGGCCTCTACTTGTACAGTAGCCTAAATGGATCGCCCGCAGCTTGTCCACACGACAAGAATAGAATGGACCG